ACATCTCATCATCTGGGTCAATCTCCTGATGTGACCTGAACCAGATTCAGAGGTGATACAAAGTCACTTTAATCAGCTGTAATTAACCCGTCATGGCTAGATGGGATACAGTTTGTCAAATTGACATCAAAAGGTGAACATTATAGCATTTTAGATCAATCAATCAATCAATCAAATGTATGTATAAAGCCCTTTTTACATCAGCAGATGTCACAAAGTGCTATAAAGAAACACAGCCTAAAACCCCAAACAGCAAGCAAAGCACGGTGGCTAGGAAGAAACTTAGAGAGGAACCAGGCTCTGAGGGGTGGCCAGGCCTCTTCTGGCTGTGCCGGGTGGAGATTATAAGAGTACATGGCCATTAAGGCCAAATTGTTCTTCAAGATGTTCAAACGTTCATAGATGACCAGCAGGGTCAAATAATAACCACAGTGGTTGTAGAGGGTGCAACAGGTCAGTACCTCAGGAGTAAATGTCAGTTTGCTTTTCATAGCCGAGCATTCAGAGGTCGAGACAGCAGGTTCGGTAGAGAGAGAGAAAGAGTCGAAAACAGCAGGTCCGGGACAAGGTAGATAACCCTTTTCCTAATCTTAACCTAATTCTCCTAACTGCTACAGACATAAACTATATACCACCGTACTTAACCAGGAAGAGGAATATAGCCCGGCTCCACCAAGTGGATGCTCAATGGGTGGAAGGGTTGCGCATGTTGATGATGTCACAAGGCAGATGGTGGTCTGATTGGTCGATGGACTTGTTGGTCCAGGGACAACATATTAAACCAGGTTACATGTAAATTAGAATACAAGGTAGCAGTATTTAATCTAAACTGGTGTCTGAAAGTGTCAAAACGAAACAATCGTAACTCACATGAAGAAGAAGAAGATGATGATGATGATCATTTCAATAAACCTTCTTGTCAAATGTGCCTTAATCTAGAATTTGTTTGTGCTGCACATTTGACATTAATAATCAAGTAGTTACAAGCTTACGCCCCCGGATGATGCTTCATACATCCACCGACACAAAGACTAATTGAATTTGTGGCCACACAACATCACCCAATTTAGGGCAGATTCCTTAAATAATGTGAGTGGGTGATCTATCGAGTCAGCTTGTGAAAATGTAATCATCTTGAATGTCGGATATAATACAGCTTTTACTGTAATTCCTTAAATCCAAGAAATAGCCTTGTCACATAGCTGAAGCTTAGAGGAAGATTAAGCCCGTAAAGCTCTGAATACATTGAAACAATGTTGCAACCATCTCCAAATGAAAAATGTTTCTGCCTGCAAGCTATGCTGTCATTCCCCTGTATGGGGTTTGGATTAACTTTGGACAACAGGCGAATTCCAGAGATCCAACTGAGCGAGGCCAAAATCATTTTTTATCCTCCAGACATCACTGAGGGGACAGATAGGACAGTGAGTGTTTTACTGACTTCCGTATCACAGAAAGTATATCATTATTATCTTTCAAACTCTAACTTTCTGACATGAAATTTAAACTTGCGTATTCGTGGAATCCTCTGGGTACTGGACCTTGGGTCAAGGTTTGCGTGTTGAAAACAAATGCGAATTTCCCCTCTGTCTTTGACACGCAGAGCCAGTCCATGCCAGTGTGTGATTGTGTGTGTGTGTGTGTCTAGTGAGGAGTTGAGTTCGCACCAATAACCAGGGAAATAGATGAATGAATGTGTTACCCACAATCCCAGCCAGTCCCTTGACCGAGCCAGTTAGAGAAGAATCCTAACAAATCAATGGGCACTTGGCTGTAAAGTGCAGTTTGATGATCTGACAAAGATATGAATAACACACATTCATTAGTCAGTAGTGAAACAAACTCCATGTTATGAAAGCACTTATTGTAACACTGGAATTAGCTTGTTGTTGTTGTTGTTATGGTGAATTAATTGTATAGCATAAACAACAGAATAAAATTATTCATTAAGAACACATTGCACTACAGAATAATGTAATGATACAGAATGTGTAATGGTTTAGAATACAATGATATCAGTGGCAAGCTAACAAATTCCCTCACCTGTCTCTTTAACCAGTGTCATACCAACAGGTTTAATTAGGAAAATAAACCCTATTTTCCCTCTCTTATTGTTCTGTGAGTGTGATTGCTTGGTGGTAATATGTTAAAAACTAAAATAATTAAAAAGTCACCTTAGACATCTATTCTTCAACATACTATTTACCACCTCATGCAGTAATGACATTCCGTGTGGGGACTGGCAACTGCACTGCTGTGGCAGCAGCATTAGCAGGGGGCAATCTTTTACTGAAAGATTGGAAACCTTGTTACTGAAAAATTGGGTTTGCTTTCATCAACCGTTGCCCTTTTCTTTGTTTTTCATTTTTCAGATGGAGTCCGTGGGTGGGCTCTCTCTCTCTCTCTCTCTCTCCAAAATAGTCAAAGTTGGTGACGTGAAATGAAAAAAATAACTTGTTTAAAAAAATTCTAAAAAATAAATAACGTAAAAGTGGTGCGTGCATATGTATTCACCCCCTTTGCAATGAAGCCCCTAAATAAGATCTGGTGAAACCAATTACCTTCAGAAGTCACATAATTAGTTAAATAAAGTCCACCTGTGTGCAATCTAAGTCTCACATGATCTGTCATGTGATCTCAGTATATATACACCTGTTTTGAAAGGCCCCAGAGTCTGCAACACCACTAAGCAAGGGGCACCACCAAGCAAGAGGCACCATGAAGACCAAGGAGCTCTCCAAACAGGTCAGGGACACAGTTGTGGAGAAGTGCAGATCAGGGTTGGGTTATAAAAAAAATATCCGAAACTTTGAACATCCACGGAGCACCATTAAATCCATTATTTAAAAAATGGAAAGAATATGGCACCACAACAAACCTGCCAAGAGAGGGCCGCCCACCAAAACTCACGCCCCAGGCAAGGAGGGCATTTATCAGAGAGGCAACAAGAGACCATAGATAACCCTGAAGGAGCTGCAAAGATCCACAGCGGAGATTGGAGTTGTGATGTGTGTGATGAAAGGAGTCCGGCGGGTAATCCGTTTATTCCTTCGTTGACACACCACTGTCCTCAAATAGCGATCAACTAAAAACACAGGGGAAACTCTCATCCCTGGAAAATACACGGTAACGGCAGAATCCAATAATACATAGGCACAGGGTCTCACAAATAACAATCACCCACAAGGACAAGGGGGCAGAGGGAACACTTATACACGGACTAATGAGGGGATTAGAACCAGGTGTGTGTGATTGACAAGACAAGACAAATGTGATGATGATTGGGGCGGCAGTGGTGCAGTGGTTAGTAAGCCGGTGACGACGAACGCCGAAGCCTGCCCGAACAAGGAGGGGAGGCAGCCTCAGCCGAAGTCGTGACAGGAGTATCTGTCCATAGGACCACTTTAAGCCGTACACTCCACAGACCTGGGCTTTACGGAAGAGTGGCCAGAAAAAAGCCATTGCTTAAAGAAAGAAATAAGCAAACACGTTTGGTGTTCGCCAAAAGGCATGTGGGAGACTCCCCAAACATATGGAAGAAGGTACTCTGGTCAGATGAGACTAAAATTTAGCTTTTTGGCCATCAAGGAAAACGCTATGTCTGGCGCAAACCCAACACCTCTCATCATCCCGAGAACACCATCCCCACAGTGAAGCATGGTGGTGGCAGCATCATGCCGTGGGGATGTTTTTCATCGGCAGGGACTGGGAAACTGGTCAGAATTGACGGAATGATGGATGTAGCTAAATACAGGGAAATTCTTCAGGGAAACCTGTTTCAGTCTTCCAGAGATTTGAGACTGGGATGGAGGTTCACCTTCCAGCAGGACAATGACCCTAAGCATACTGCTAAAGCAACACTCAAGTGGTTTAAGGGGAAACATTTACATGTCTTGGAATGGCTTAGTCAAAGCCCAGACCTCAATCCAATTGAGAATCTGTGGTATGACTTAAAGATTGCTGTACACCAGTGGAACCCATCCAACTTGAAGGATCTGGAGCAGTTTTGCCTTGAAGAAAGGGCAAAAATCCCAGTGGCTAGATGTGCCAAGCTTATAAATAATAACATGCCATTTAGCTTTTATCCAAAGCGAATTACAGTCATGTGTGCATACATTTTTACGTATGGGTGGTCCCGGGGATCGAACCCACTACCCTGGCGTTACAAGCGCCATGCTCTACCAATTGAGCTACAGAGGACCACAGAGACATACCCCAAGATACTTGCAGCTGTAATTGCTGCAAAAGGTGACTCTACAAAGTATTGACTTTGGGGGGGTGAATAGTTATTCACGCTCAGGTTCTGTTTTTTTTGGGGTGTTATTTCTTGTTTGTTTCACAATAAATAATATTTTGCATCTTCAAAGTGGTAGGCATGTTGTGTAAATCAAATGATACGAACCCCCAAGAAATCCATTTTAATTCCAGGTTGTAAGGCAACAAAACAGGAAAAATGCCAAGGGGGGTGAATACTTTCACAAGCCACTGTACATATATACACATACACACATCATTGCATATATAATTATTATTATAATACCAGTGCCAATAAAATAAAGAATAGTTGTAAACAAATGAATTAGAATAGAATAAGATTGCAATTAAAATAAGTACAATGCAATCTGCAACCCCTTGTATGTATGTGTTTCTTGTATGTATGTGTTTCTTGTGTGTGTGTGTGTGTGTGTGTGTGTGTGTGTGTGTGTGTGTGTGTGTGTGTGTGTGTGTGTGTGTGTGAGTGTGTGTGAATTAAAAGGTCTGTCTATCTGTCTTGCCAGAGGTTACCTCAGAATATGTAGGCTGATGATCTGAATGATACATGGTGTGGACTGCATCATGTGGTGCACTTCTCTGAAGGACAGTGTTCTGCCCGACCCTAGAGTAGTGGTCAGTGCTGTGCTGGGCCGGGTCTAGTAGTATTGTGCTGTGATGGGACGGGTCTGGTAGAGCTGTGTTGCGATGGGCCGGGTCTAGTAGAGCTGTGTTGTGATGGGCCGAGTCTAGTAGAGCTGTGTTGTGATGGGGTCAAGTAGAGCTGTGTTGTGATGGGCCGAGTCTAGTAGAGCTGTGTTGTGATGGGGTCTAGTAGAGCTGTGTTGTGATGGGCCGGGTCTAGTAGAGCTGATGGTACGGGTCTGGTCGTGCTGTCCTGAGGCGGGTCCGGTCTGGTAAATCTGTGCTGTGTTGGGCCCGGTCTTGTAGAGTTGTGCTGTAATAAGCCGTGTCTGGCTCTTCTCTCCTGGGGATGGTGGGGGTACTGTTGTTTCAGAAGGTGGGGTGGGGGGGGGGGGGGGCTCTGTTGCTGGGGTGATGGGTGTGTGGGTCCCTGCCAAGTATTGAATCCTTAAGGTCCTTAGCAAAGGTTCTGATACTGTCCTGATCAGGATGTACATTATCGTATAAATGTTCACATGTCAGAGTGGGGTGGTGAGCCGTTCTGACGTTGAGCAGTGAGGCACAGTCCACAGTGATCTGTTGATTTATTTTGTCGATCAACTGTCCTGGGAAGTCTTTTCTTGGTAGGAGGGTGGACACAACTATATTGGTTGTTGGGAACATAGCCTGTGCCCGTTCTGCCACTCTTCTCACTGCCCCAGATACATTTTCACCTTTAGCACGAAGGTTGTTTGTGCCAGTGTGGATGATGATGTTGTCGGGGGTGTCAATCCTGGTCTGACTGAGTAGCTGCATTGCACTGTCAGTTGTAGGACACCAGCATTTATACACCTGGTGTCTAGGGAATAATCTTTCCTGGACTAAGAACTTCCCATTTGAATCAATAAGGCTTGCAGTTGTGGGTGATTGTCTGGGTGGAACAGACTAGGAGACTGTAGCAGACTGGGAGGCTCCCGAGTGGCGCAGTGGTCTAAGGCACTGCATCGCAGTGCTAGCTGTGCCACTAGAGATTCTGGTTCGAATCCAGGCTCTGTCGTAGCTGACCATGGGGCGGCGCACAATTGGTCCAGGGTAGGGGAGGGAATGGCTGGCAGGGATGTAGCTCAGTTGGTAGTTTGCAACGCCAGGGTTGTGGGTTCGATTCCCACGGGGGGCCAGTATTAAAAAAGAATGTATGCACTCACTAACTGTTAGTAGCTCTGGATAAGAGTGTCTGCTAAATGACTGAAATGTAAAATGGTGGCTGGTATTCTGACCTGGGCTGGAGCAGACTGGGAGGCTGGTAGGTTGACCTGGGCTGGAGCAGACTGGGAGGTTGACCTGGGCTGGAGCAGACTGGGAGGCTGGTAGGTTGACCTGGGCTGGATCACTGGGAGGCTGGTAGGTTGACCTGGGCTGGAGCAGACTGGGAGGCTGGTAGGTTGACCTGGGCTGGAGCAGACTGTGAGGCTGGTAGGTTGACCTGGGCTGGAGCAGACTGGGAGGCTAGTAGGTTGACCTGGGCTGGAGCAGACTGGGAGGTTGACCTGGGCTGGAGCAGACTGTGAGACTGGGAGGTTGACCTGGGCTGGAGCAGACTGGGAGGCTGGTAGGTTGACCTGGGCTGGATCACTGGGAGGCTGGTGCAGTGTAATCAGGCTGTGTGGTGGAGGCCATGCTGGTTATGCTGGTCTCAGGTTCTGCTTGTGTTGTACCAGGCTGGTGGACATGTTCTCTAGATGCAGAGGACATATTGACTATCTGCTGGTTGAGGGGGTCAACGTACCTCTCTCTTTGTTCTAGCTCCTTTCTTGCTGTGCTCAGATGGTCTCTGAGGTCATCATTTGTCTGACTCAGTTTGTCTGCGTTCTAATTTAGCAATAGATGCTCTGCTCTCCTCCCTGAACTGTTTAATATCTTATTTTAGTTTCTGGACAGTGTCCTCCTCTTGAAGCTTGTTCTCTCTGAGTTCTATGACCTCTGCTTCAACTAGAGAGAGGGTGTTGTGGAAACGTTGCATAGCAGGTGTTCTTGGTGTTGTAGGCATGTCCTTGGCTCTGTCTGCTGCAGGTGAGGTAGGTAGAGGGACACTGAGGGCTTCTTGCTGGGTCACAGAGACCGTTGGGGCCTGCTTTTCTCCAAACTTACTTTTTCCTCAGCTTCTGAGATGAGTTCAGCTTCTGCTTTTAGGGTAGCAAACATATTCTCAAAAGTCTGGAGGCTTGAATCATCAATACAGTTCCATAATTATATAAGTTTACTGTTTGATACGTGTTGCTCTGGTCAGCTTCTTCAAAAATGCTGATCTGACATCCTTGGCTGATGCCTCTCTTTTTTGAGAAAGGGAAATTGTTGCGAATAAACCTTTTCCATATGTACCCTCGTTTAGTATTAAATATTACATTTGCTCTTGTTTTGCAACTGGTAAGATCTGCAAACAGGCATTCATGGCTCTGTCCCATCATAAAACCTTTGAAACTGTTCTTGGGCGGCAGGTAGCTTAGTGGGTAAGAGCGTTGTGCCAGTAACCGAAAGGTCGCTGGTTCTAATCCCCGAGCCGACTAGGTGAAAAATCTGTCGATGTGCCCTTGAGCAAGGCACTTAACCCTAATTGCTCCTGTAAGTCGCTCTGGATAAGAGCGTCTGCTAAATGACTAAAATGTAATGTAAATGTTCTTAGCGTTCTCCGTCTGGATGTCTGCTGGGTAAGCAATTTCCATAGCAAAGCTGGTGATGTTGGCTACAATGTTGCAATAGAAGCCTACCTTTTCCAAAACAGTGTTGTTTCTTGTATTAGTGTCTCTAGTGTCTTTAGAGAACTGTTTTACTGTAGCTCAGTTGGTAGAGCATGGCGCTTGCAACGCCAGGGTTGTGGGTTCAATTCCCATGGGGGGCCAGTATGGAAAATGTATGCACTCTAACTGTAAGTCGCTCTGGATAAGAGCGTCTGCTAAATGACTAAAATGTTAATGTCCTTCTTTTGTCTTTCTAATGTTCTGTTGACCAACTGTGTTTTTATTAGCTCGCTAGCTTCTTCCAGGAGAGTCCCTAGCAACTGCTTAGCAACTGGTATACAATCCAGCTAGCTAAGATAACTGCACAATTGTATAAAAATATATACTTTTTCACAAGCCCATCGTCTTCATTTGTTGCTTGTTTTGTCTCTCATTCAGTCTTGCAGTTTTCTTCTTTTTTTTTCTCCAATGTACTTCACTCTAAAAACCATGTACATTTCAATATTTGTAGGAGGTAATTATTTTCAGCAGCTGCTGCTCAATTTGGAACTCTTCTCTCGCTCTCTCTCTCTCGCTCTCTCTCTCTCTCTCTAGCCCTACAAACAGAAACATAATGAGAGAGAGAGAGAGATAGAGGTGATTATCTTTGCCAGAGGAGATCAGGGTCTCATTTCTTTTTAAACTCATTGGGAAAGCAGATGGTCATACATCATATTCCACCAGGATAGAAAGCAGATTACTGTGACACCAGCTGAACCACAGCGCTAAACTTAGTTCGAGGACTTCTCTTCTCTCCACATGTGAAAACTTGAATAAAACTCTGAGACTAGTAAGATGGCTTCACACAAGGCCTCGGAATTAAGACAAGAAGAACAAGAACAGCAAAAGGGACAAAATTAAGCAAAATATTTCTAAAATAACAAGCTATACGAAATAGAGTTACATTGTGAGAAGAGAATAACTGAATGCAAATAATTTTTTTTCTTCTGTCAAAGTGTAGTAAAATTGCTATGACTTAAATTCAAACTGAATTTAATTATCGTTTAATACTAGTGTTGTGCATATAATATAGATGATAAATCCCTGTGAGCATGCGCTCAGTGTTGAGGGAGATGTACTGTGACCCTGCGACAGTTAAGCGCATATAACATGAGCTTATTTCATAATTAGCTCTTTGCTGCTGAATGCCTCCCCTCTAGAGACCTAATGTAACTTATTAGCTTACGTGTGTAAGTCGTTTAACATACTGGTCACACACATGGCAGTGTATATGTTTTTCACTTTTATGAAGTGAACAGTCAGGGCTGTCCCTAGCCTTTTCGGGGGCCCTGAGCGAGATTTGGTTATTTGGTGATTGGGTAACTTGGTGATGATTACTACAAGGTTTAGATAGCTGGCTAGACTACCTTACCTAGCAATCACATTTTTTTAGCTGACATTTAATGACTGACATAACAAGAGGAACACTGCTGATGTACAACCACATTTAGAAATGACACTTTGTGTATTCTACTATTCTAACTCTCAACGGGAAGTTGACATATTATCTCCCGAGTAGCGCAGTGGTCTAAGGCATCCTGGTTCGAATCCAGGCTCTGTCAGGGCCGGCCACGACTGGGAGACCCATGGGGCGGCGCACAATTGGCCCAGCGTCGTCCAGGGGAGGAGAATGCACTAACTGTAAGTCGCTCTTGATAAGAGCGTCTGCTAAATGACTAAAATGTAATATTATGTCTACCTCTGATAAGCTACCCAGGAAAGGGCTGAAAATAGCCCATATTAATAAATGTTGCCCTAGAAATAAGCTTAATGAAATCAATAACTTGCTAACATCAGATAGCATTCATAGATCAGCCATTTCTGAGACTCACTTAGATAATTCATTTGATGATACAGCAGTAGCAATACAAGGATATAACATTTATAGAAGGGACAGGAATGCTTATGGGGGAGGTGTTGCTGTATATATTCAGAGCCAAAAATGTAATTGATTACTTCATTGGCAAAGTGGGCAAACTTAGGGAGGAAATACCAACAACAAACAGTGAGCCATTGTATTCATGCATAAAAAAGAAAAGAAAAGCATTGTAGGTTTGAATTTTGTCAAGTTAGTGTGGGAGAGGTAGAATAATTATTGATATCGATCAATAATGACAAACCTCCTGGCATTGACAACTTAGATGGAAAGCTACTGAGGATGGTAGCTGACTCTATAGCCACTCCTATCTGTCCTATCTTTAATCTGAGCCTGAGAAGGTGTTTGTCCTCAGGCCTGGAGGACAAACATTAAAATTGAATGGCAGCATCTGCTGGTGAGGGTGGTAGCTCAGCTGGTAGAGCACGGCGCTTGTAACGCCAAGGTAGTGGGTTCGATCCCCGGGACCACCCATACACAAAAAAATGTATGCACGCATGACTGTAAGTCGCTTTGGATAAAAGCGTCTGCTAAATGGCATATTATATTATATATATATTATATAAGCCAAAGTCATTCTGCTACCCGGGTGGTATAGCCTACGTTCCAAAATGCGGTGGTTCGACGAGAACACAGACATTCTGCCAAGGCAGAGATGAGTGGGCGACACCGAGAGGCGCGCTGACAGCAGTGGACGCATACATTCTGGCCTAATGACAATCGGCAAATGTCATGTTCCGACAAAATAGTAAGTAAAGAAAATGTGGTTCTAGCCAGCACTTTCCTACAGCAACACTAAGCTGTCAGTGTATATGCCCTAGGCTAAACGTTCAGGTACTTTGGAGAGGTTGAAAAAAACACTTGGATATCCCCTGTATGACCCCTAACACCACCACAATGTTTGAGAGAGGTTGGTGTTGTGGACATTTTGTTTTTATAGTGAACAATAACTTTTAGGCACATCCAGTGTGCAAAAACAGTGCAATTACCACATTCGGACACGTTGGAGAGGCTGAAAAGGCCACTTGAATGTACCCTGGATACCCCATAACACCACCACAATGTTTGAGTGAGGTTGATATGGTAGAAATTGTGTTTTTACACTGACCAAGTAGCATTTATGGATTGCAAATATGTAATACCACTGGAATTATCTAATTTGCAGACACATGCCAGTTTGGAGAGGTTTAGGGACATTTGGAAACGTCCTGTGACCACACCTGACGCCACTTACTAAATCATCTGCCCATTTCTAGTTGTTAGTTCTATCAAACCCTTTTTTTCCCCCTTATATTGTTCACATTTTGTGGACGCCATCAGATGTGTTTCCAGCTCTGGTCATCAATAATTCACTTATAGCTTGTCAATGAAAGATGACTTTCAAAATAAAACAAATAAAAGAAACGGTTATTTTGTGTATGCTTGATCTTATGTAACTCCTATCTATCTTCTGATCATTTCCTCATCATCTCCCAGATGTCTTCTTTCCAAATATACCAAGTTTTTGCATGTCAGAATCATATAATTACACATAAATAGCAGTTACTTTTGGGTATGTCTATTTAGGCGGAAATCAACATTTTGCCATTATATTTAAGAGATTAATTAAACAGGCCCCTGAACGTTGGTACCTAAACGGGTAAACAAACTAAACCACAGTAGAGTCTCTCTCTCTCTCTCCCCCCCCCACCCCCTCCTCCCCAAATAGAACAGAATATCAGAAGGTTACCACATGATAAGTTGAAATGGGAAATGTGTCTTCCTTTGTGCCATTGTTCACAAGCAGCAAGCATCAACAATCCTAGGTTTATGATTTGAACTTATTTGTTCTTCAAAAACACATTCAGCTCTCATCTCGGTCTCTGAGGAACGAGGCTTTGCGTGTAAACATTAAAATTGAATGGCAGCATCTGCTGGTGAGGGTGGTGGCAGCAATCACACACAGAAGTGACAGAGTCGCAGAAGAGAGAGAAAGAGAGAGATGGGAATCGAGAGAGAGCTAGAGCATCGGGGGAGAGAGAGAGAGAGAGAGGGAGAGAGAGAGAAACATGTTCTACCACTCCATCTCTCCTCTCTTCTTTCAATTTCACCAGCATGAAGAGTAGAACCCCCATGGCTCAGCCCCTCCTTCCCATTGGTTCTCCACAGGTAGCTTTATTACCAATCACCTTTATTGCCAATCACTCATCACTAAGGACAGGAAGAGGACAGAGGGGCTCAACAGGTGTTCTGGGTGTTCTCTGTAAAAAAAAAAAAAAACACACAACTACTAAATCATTTAATTAAATTCATGATTTTGTAAGGCATTGGCCTATGAAACACAGCAATGAAAATGACAGGTTAAAACCCTTTTTTAATAAAATTATAATTGGACATATTACAGACCCTTTGTAATTGTAATTCGTCTAAGGAGACAAGTCACAACAATGTATAAGCAGGGCTGCACGAACTGTAACTGCAAGAGGAAAGTCATGTTTTACTCGGCTCCAAATCCTGGTTGTCGCAAACTATTTGAAAATCGATACAGATTTGACACGGGAGCCATCAACACT